CCCGCAGCCGCAGCCGGGCGTTGGCCACGGGCCTCACGATGGCCAGGTAGCGGTCGAAGCTGAGGCCGGTGAGGCAGAAGACGCTGGCGTACATGTTAACGAAGATGACATAGCTGCTGAGCTTACAGGCAAAGGTGCCGAAGGGCCAGTCGTAGTCCCGGTAGGTGTAGGTGGCCCACAGCGGCAGGGTCACCACGAACGTCAGGTCGGCCACGGCCAGGCTGGAGATGAAGATGTCAGCCGAGCGCCTCTTCTCCCGGCTGCTCCGGAACACGGTCCAGAGCACCAGGCCGTTGCCCGTGGTGCCCAGGAGGAAGACCAGCAGGTAGATGGCAGGGATGAGGGCCCCCGAGGACTTCCAGTCCGTGTACACACACCCAGGCAGGTTGTCTGCCCCATAGTCATTGTCATATTCACTACTTTCCTCCATGCTGCCGGGCAGAGAGCAGTCAGGCAGGGGGTCCCGGAGGGAACCAGCTCTGTGGCTGTGTCCTGTGTCACCAGCTCAGCAAGCAAGCGCCCGAGCTTCTGGCTTGCGCCTTGGAAAACAGGCAAGAAGAGCCGAAGGTGTCCAGAGCCCGTCCCAACAGCGGGAGAAGCTGCCTCTGGACCGGACCCTGGAGGATGACGGCGCCCACAGACTTCCCCACCCTCTCCTGCCTGGCCCCAGCCCCAAAGAGTTTCCTGCACCCTCCCGAGTCCGGTCTCCTCCTCGGCTCCTCGCTCCCTCCTCCCACCTCCAAACCAACCCCTCACTTGTGAGTCTTAAGATCCTTGGGTTACAGCCCACTTTTTTTTTTCCTTCTTGTCACTGGGCAAGTGAACCAAATTGACCCCTGCTGTGCTGGGCAGAATGTTATCTGTGGCTTGCAGCCCACTCTCCTCCTGGTCCCGCCTCTATCCCTCTGGTTTCCTCTGGTCTTCGGAGCGCCCCCCCCCCCCCCCCCCCCCCCCCCCCCCCAAACAGTCCTCACCACCCTCCTGTTCTCACCCCCTCCCACCTTCTCTAAATGGGGCAAATTATGCAGATTGAAATCTAGCCCTAGCTGGAGCCAGGGTGGGTTGGGGACAAGGAGGGTGTGAGATTTTGAGCATCTGGCAAGCCCTTTGGGTCTGTCCCACCCTCCCTCCACTCCTGCCCGCCCTGCCCTCTCCCAGACCAGACTTCCCTGTACTTTTCTCGCTCACTTCACTCTCCTTTACCCTTCCACTTTAACCCTCTCTCTGGGAACTTTTATATCTTACAGACGCAGGTACAGGGAGATTTCTCTGTAATTCATAAGCTGTCAGCAGATAGCAATTTGCAGATGGCATCGGAAGTTTTAGAGTCAGGACAGAGTCACAGGATGGAAGAAACCCCAGACAAAAGAATATCGAATCAAGTTATTAAACCTGCGGGGAAACTGAGGCCTAACAAGGTAACCATTTTTTGCCCAAGGTCACAGGATGACTTTTGTCCTGGTTTTGCTGTTTGCTTTTCTTCTACTCCAAACACCTAACACAGTGCCTGGCATGTACTAAGTGATCACTAAATGGTTGTTGAGTGAATAAGCAAATGGGTGAATCAGAGAGAGAATGAAAAAGGGAGTCCACAGGAAGAGGAATGAGTGTATGAGGTCCTATGCAATGAGAGCATGGCTGCATTTCAGTTCTCGGGTTCTTATGCCCTACATGGACAAGGAGCTTCTGTAAGGCCAGGGACAGGGTGTTACAGCTAGAGGAGGAGGCAGAGAAAGGGGCAGCCCGGAACAGATGCCATGGGCACAGTGCTATAGAAACTCATCTTGCCCTGCCCACCTCTCCAGGACCTCTGGGCAGGCAGGAGGGAAGAGTGCACAAGATAAAGTAAAATAATACCCACCCCCCAAGAGTGGAGGAGGCCACCTAAAATTGGACAAGGGTGAAGTGATGCAAAATCAGGAGCTGAGGCTTGCCCACAGCTAATGCAAAGGGTTTACAAAACTAGAATCCATTGTCTTCAGGGAGGTTTGTTCAGAAAGCCCCCTAACTCAAGTACCCACAAGGATCAGGCTAAGAACGTATATGGGTAAACAGCCAGTTTGAGACAATACAGAGTGATGGAGACTTCGGCAAACCAGAACCAGCACACTCCATCAAAAGGAGGCTGCCTCAGCTCTGTCTCTGGTTGCCAGCATTTCCATGCCTTCTGGTTTTTCAACATAACTTCAAGTTCTGGATTTTATGAGAAATATCCTAAATTTTGGAAAGTAAAACCATTTTTAGAAAGATAGGGCAGGACAGGAAAACATGCCCTTGGGCTCCTGTTCTTTGAACCGGAGCTTGCCAAGAATAGAAGGTGGGAGAAATATAGGGAGCATAGACCAAGAGGAAGAAACATAAAATGCAAAGATTTTTTAAAAATGAAAATAGACACGGCCAAAGCCTTAGGCTGCAATAGGGAGATGCAGGAGAAGAGGCTGGAGAGAATGATAAGAAAGATCCTGAGGGTCTTGGATGACCTTTACCTAAAGGCAATGTGCACAAGAGAATACCTTGGTGTTTCTCCTGAGGGTTACACATTGAGTCCCTACTATGTGCTAGGAATTCTTCTAAACATTTTCTATTTTTTGTGTATTTGTTATCTCTTTTAATCGGCAAGACAACTTTAAGAAATCGGTACTTCGTTTTGCAGATGAGGAAACTGAGGCATGGGGAGGTGAAATAACTTGCCCAAGGTCATCCAGCTAGTAATGGTCAGGATCAGAATTTGACCCAAAGCTGCCTTGAGTCCATAGACGAACCCACTATGATCCCTAGGGAAAAACTCCAACCCTCTTTAAATTGAGGCATTTGTCATCTGTTGAGCTTTATAGAAATGTACAACGGTGCTAGGATACATGGCATTTACTTTGAAATAAGCCTTCTTGGGGAAAATTTAAAATAAATTGGCTAAAGTATTTCAGAGAGACTCCCCCCTCTTGATTGAACAGCGTATATGAATCCTGCCAGGAAACAGTCTACACTAAACCCTCGGGGTTGGCAACATATCTTGGTCCAGAAATAGTGCCGTGCCCAGTCATTCCCAAAGAGGACTCCTGGCCGCCTGATGCCAGCCGGAGAGGTGACATCTTAGCAGTCTGCAGAATAGTGCTCAGGACACTCAATAGGACCCAAGCTAGGGCTTCCCGGCTCTCACAGTACCCAGCGAACAAACTGCCTGGTACCTGCTTTCTCCTGCACGTCTGTCTAATAGAAGCCTGTGTGGGTGGCAGAATGATTGTCGTTGTAACCCGACAGCAAGCTTGGGTGGCACCAATTAACCTTCATCAACCTTGACCTATCAGAAGGGACAGTAGCGTTGTGCTGCAACCTGTTTGGCTCAACTCAGCTCATAGCTGATGTTCCTGTTACAATAAAAATGACTGCTCAGGACATTCCAGGATAAAGGCCAAGTTCAGGACCCCCAGTGAATCCAGATCTCTGCTTCTCCCAGAAAGGTGCAGGTACCCCTGTCCTTTGCAGCTGGGAACATAGAGGGAGGGGTGCAAGTGAGTTCACGTGGCCCCAAAATCAGGTCCCTCCTCCCAGCTGTTCCCATTTGGATCCTGAGTCAGATAGAGAGCCCGTGGGAGAGGGTAGGCATTCATCACTTTAATCCCCTGGCCTCGGGCTCTCTGCCTCACAGGGGGTAAGAAGCAATTAATCTCACCAGGGGAATCAGACTGGTTGAAATGAGAGGAAATGGGGGGCCAAGGCTGGGCGGGAGCCGCAGATTAGGGCCAGAGCGGGTGGAGTGTTGATAAGACCTGGCTTCCAACTGAGAGCCAGCTGGAGCCAGATGGGCCCAGCCGTGGCAGAGATGACCAGAATGAGCCCACCTCCCTCCTCACCCCACCTGACACCCAAGGTCCCTGCCCATCCAACACAGAAGATGCGAGTTCAGTAAATAGGACCAGACCATACATGCCCCCAAGGCACAGAAGGAAGCCCTCACCAGGGAGAGAGAGTACATGGGCAGGACCTGCTTTTCACTCCTGTGGCCCCTCAATTTGGTGCCTGGTAAATTGTAGCCATAAGAACCCACCCAGGAAAGGGATGGGAGAGGCTGGTCTTCACCTGGAGCTGTTCTCCTTCATTAACAAGGGCACCTTCTTTTGTTAAATTGACACAGAATAATCTAGCCTGAGCCCCTGGCAAACCAGCAGCTAAGGCCGTGTCCCCGGGCTGGCCTGTCCTGGAGAGGCCGAACGGGTTCTCTGGGGGACTTCGTCTGTCCTGGGTGATTTCTCAGGATATTGTGATGAGCCTGAGATGAACGGCCCCCAGATCGGCCATAGAGAAGAGCCCAGGCTGCTGGGGGACCTCTGGAGTCCTTGAATCAATAGCCATCCTCCACCCACCCCACCCCCGGATGGGTTCCTGGCCTAGAGAGCAGAGACCAGCTTGGCCCTGTGCCCTGGCTGTGTGGCTGTGCACATGTGTGTGCGGGGCTGGTGTGTGTCGTGGGGTCCCCTGTGAGCATACGGGACTTGTGTGTGCCTGGGGCATGTGTGTGCTTTGGGTGCACTATTTACGTAGCAAGTGTGTGGTAGGCCCGGGATCTGGATAAACATCCTCCTTGGAAGACAGGAAAGGGTGGTTAATTGGATCTCTCTAAGGGCCTGGGACGAGGGGGAAACGCAACCGCGCCAGGCCTTGCCCCACGCTCTGGGTGGAGGACTTCAAAGAGGAAGCCTGCCTTTCCCTGCCCCTCGCTGACTTCTCACCTCCTCCCTCCCTGCTCCCTGCTCCAGCCCCCTCACTCCTCAGGTTTGCTTTGAACTCTGCAGCTTCAGAACTCACCCAGGGCAACAGGGCCCTTTTCTCCCTCCCCAAGAGGCAGCTGTGTCCCTAACAGCTGGCCGAGCTATCAGAGGGAAAGGGGAGGGAGGGCCCCGGGAACAGGGGCAGCCCAGCCCACTCTGGGATTCCGCACCCCGCCCCAGCCCAGCCTTACACACTCACACACTCACAAGTCCTATTTTGGCAGCTTATCTGACCAAAAACAAATGGCCAGCTGCCTTCTGACAATTAAAGCAGACCCCCCTCCGCAGCTCCTTCTCCCCC